TTCTTCTCCCACGTATAAACGCCCTATATGCATATTCATTGCAGAAAAAGTACTAAATGGATAAGAGGCGCTATTTAGCACGTTTAAAGACCAAATCCTTTTAGCACGCTGTTGATAGATCAGTTTGTACATTTTTTAGCGTGCGCAGTGAAATAGCTCACGTTTTTATACACGCAAACCTTTGATAGATCCGGCCCAGAGTGTATACAAAACTACATTTCTGTTAGTACAGCTTTTCAGACAGTAAATTAACATTTCCATTCCATAAAGTGCTGAAATGTAACCAATGTGGGAGAAAAAACATGATGCAAAAAAATAAAAAAAAACGCATTGATATGGAAGTTCAGAGTGCAAATATGCAGTATTTTTTTTTGGTGTTATCATTGGGATGCAAAGTTTATGACTGATTGGTTTCGAGATTATTATTTTTTTTAAGTTAAGCAGTCTGATGGCAGTGGGAATGACACTGTTGCAGAATCTGCTCGACCTACATCGAATGCTGTAAAGCCTCTTCCCAAAGGGAAGCAGGGAAAAACAGTCCATGGAGGTGATGTGAGGGGTCAATGATGATGTTTCGGGCTCGAGACGCACAGCGCTGAAATGAAATGTCTTTTATGGAGCAACTTAGAACCTGGAACCTGTGGAAGATTCCCTCCCTTTCTTGTGTTCAAAGTCCCTTAAATCGCATTGTCTTTGCCGCTTGGCTGTGATGCTGTTCAGAACACCGTCACCTGCTCCGCTGGTTGCGCCACTGAGGTTGAAAATGAAATCGTGTGTGCCCTCTGGGCCACCATAATTTGATAAGGCTACTTGTAAGCACAGAGCCTGCCAAATGTTGAGAGGGCAATATTATTTCCATTACCAGAGACGTGCAGAGACCGTTGGAAGGGCAGGTGCTCAAAGTGAAAAGGGGGCACATGGAGCACAGGTTTAAAACAGGATAGAGAAACAACTGAATTGAACCAACCCAATTACAACACACCATAACACACATACTCAAATGTTTGTTAGAGGTCAGCACAAGGCGAAATGAGTCTATGTTTTACCTCATGGGTAGATTGAACAGCTTCTGTTGAGGGGGTTGGTGCTGCTGTTTTGCTGTAGGTAGGCTCTATTGATCTGATAGTGTAGACACTAAAAAGATCATAAAAAAGAGAGATAGTAGCTGATTAAAAAAGAGGTATGTGCTCATGCAAGATGCAAGGATAACTAACATTAAAATGGCTCACTGTGACTGACCTGCCACCCTGCTGATAATTTGTAGGAGACTACTTGTTGAGATCTGTGGGTCTGTAATTCTGTCTTTGTCTGTTTTTGCCTGAGTTCTTGTACACATCACACATTTGTCTTTTTTTGCAGTTATAGCAGCAACTTCCTGTTGCCTATGCTCTTAAAAATGTCAATGACCTGTGACTTTTTTTGCTATTTGTCATCTAGCTGGTGAGTGATCCACTGCCTTTGCAGCCTCACACAGCACCTTTTGTTTTGGTCTTAACCTCCTCTCTACTTTTGAGGCATCTCTGCAAAATGAAACATGTTCCTTAAACTACAATCTGATGCACATAAAACACACAAACACAAATGTATACTTCATACCTTTTCAAAAAATTGTACTGTATAGCCACAGATTTGATCCATTAATAATTTTTCCTTTATTATTCCTAGTGCTTTAAAGTAGAGTGATGTAGAGTAATATATCATTTAAAATATTCATTGAAAAAATATTCACTTATTCATTTTTTTTTTTTTTGTTGCTTTTATTTAGTTTGACTATTGACTTTGGGCATGACATCAAGGGTCTAAAAGTTATATGATTTGGGTGCATATTAGCCTCTATGGGCCTATTTAATTTTTGTGTAAATAAATGAGAGGTTTAGAAAATCAAAATTCAACTTGATTTTCAACCGACGTACTTCTTCCCTATAGCACACTTTGAATGTGTGGTCATACCACGATTGGATCTGTGCGCCCTCCAGTTTGGTCGGGCCGGCGTACTATAGTGCATACAGACTTTTTGAGCCGCTGACGACGAGCGGCTATATCTTGTGAGACATCGGTGTGTGCAAATTTGGGCAGCACACAGGATGCTCATAGCTCACTTTACTTGGTCAGTCTACTCATCTTGCAACAATACACCGTGCACAAACTAACATCACTGCAGAACATAGTTACCGGTGAATTCATGAATTGGTCACCTTTTATTTATTTTTTTTGCAATTGATGCTTCTTTGCATGAGACAGATGAAACAAGGCTGGTAGCTGCATCTAATGCTAACCAATATATTTTTAGATGAAACAGGAAAAGCTAACTTTAACCTTATGAATCATAGCAGGATATGGTTAAAGTAAATTAACATACAATCTGAAACAAACAGACATCAAACCTCAGTTAGTTAACTATAAAACAGAACTAGCTAAACACGAGTGCAAATCTTTCCCACCTCCATGCCCTGAATTTCAGATGTTAATTTTACATTGAAATATAGATAAGCAAAGATTTTGCTTCAAACAACTGCTTACAGTTGTTCTCTTTGTTGCTTTACTTTGCTCCAAAAAAAGAGCAATTCTTGAGTATTCAGGAAGTGTGTTTAAGACAAAAATAGATGGACAGGGCCATAATATACAAATTTTTGGCCAATGTCCATACTAGTATTAATCATTAGTGTTGGTTGCTGCAGTTTCCCCTCTGTTGCTGGAGTCTCCTTTCCAATTTCTGCAAATCCCCCTCTTACACTGACACTTTCCAAGACACACCCTATGATGCTACAGGACTAAACAATCAGTTCAACAAAACTGTTTCTCTTTTCCATGGGACTCTCCTAAATTTCAAAACTTCTGCAACAAATTGCTGCAAAAAAGTGACCACTTTGCAACTTTTCTCTCTGAGTTACAGAACACTATCAGATGCCTGATGAGACTTGAGGATTGGAGCTTCTAAGAACAAAGAGCCTCTGCTGTTGGCCTGACATGCTAAACATGCTAAATTTGGGTTTTTGATGATTTTTTTTTTATCTTTCCATCTGTTCTGTAGGACAAGCTAACAAGTTGAGCTGAATGGCACACCATCTTAGAATTCAACTCACCTTTAATGTCATAACACTATCGCAAGTACAAAGTGACAAAATTAACTATCTGCATTTAACCCACCCCCTTGGGGAGCAGGGGGCTTCCATTGTGTGGCACCCGGGGAGCATTCTAAGGTTAAGGGTCTTGTTCAGGGACCCAGAGTGGCAGTCTGTGGTAATGAGTGGGATTTGAACTCAGAACGTCAAAGACCAGTGTGCAGTGCTCTAACCACTAGGACACCACCCCCCATGTCATGTACTGAGCTGTTGTTTATAAAGCCTAAAAAAAAATGGTTTAAACACTAAAATATCGTTAACATCTATCTCTTCTTCTTTGCTCATCATATTTCATTACCAAAATATGACCCAAGAGTCATATGTTAAGATAATTCTCCTCCCCGCCTGCTGAATAAAAGTTATTGGTTGCTGAATAAGCAAAGCATTAAATAAGATATTAGTTCATCAAACTCCAGTTGCTCTAAATTAGACATAAAGGGTACATTCCAAATTCTTCAAGATAAACTTTGGTTCTCAAACATAAAATCCATGCTAAACTGTGAAACCATTGTATCATTTTATTGATTGAACTTTTGAACCATGTGTTTTTCTTCCTTTGTGCACAGAGCAGCTTACTTCAGTTGAGTTTCACTAGTATAGTCAAGAGTGTATAATTAAATATGTTTCTCTTGAGGCTGAATAATTTTTGTGAGTCAGATTTTGGAGTTCTGATGAATTGTTTCCCGATATGTGCAGAGTTTTCTGTCTGACCTATCTGAGCGAAATTCACACTTTCATTTGTTGTCTTAACTCGAAGCCAGTTAGGCCTTTGTTCACAGAACAGTATACGTTAGTGCAAATAATAATTGAATAAATAACACATTTGCCATGCCTAATAGGGTAGATCAAAGACCAGCAACAGCAGAGTGTTATTATCAAGACTAATAAATCAACAAATAAGTATTTTTGACATAACTGTAAACATGTCCCCACACTCAAGGTAATCTTTCAGTTTTCTTTTATTTGTTAAATAGAGTGAGCAAACATGTTACAAACACTACTAACAGATGAGTGTTTTAGGCCAATACAAAAGTATTATTTATGTTTAATAGACACTACATTAACTACTTATATTATAGAAAATCTTTTAATTATTTGTTTAAACTCAGAAGTTAGTACATTTCCTTACTAAGTGACTCATTTGTATACCTAAATCATAAATACATACTTAGAGTTGTGTACTGCCTAATGTTCTGCTTTTTCCTGAATTGATGTTAGAAAATGTGAGTTTGATTTTTGAAAAATGAATAAATATAGCAAGAATTAGGTAAATTAACTCTTACACTGGTGGTAATATGCTTGTAAATACTTGTTGTACCTGCTTAGCACAGCTTTAGTAGTACAACTATGACCTGGTTTTAGGTTTTTTAACTGCATAGTGGTTATTCATGCTTAGCCTCTCTCACAAGAATCCCAATTTTGCTAACATAAAAGCACATGAGTAATAAGGAAATACGTTTCCATGAATTATGTAATGATTTTTAAATAAGGATACAAGTGAATCCTTGTTAATAACAACAGTTAAATTGGTTAACATACCTGGTAGAGATGTCTTTTTATAACTAACTTTAAAATGTCATGCACATTCAAACCTGGGCAGTAGTTTATTTTTTTTTTTTTTTTTTTTTATTTCCCTGTAAAAACTCTTAAGTTCCTGTTTATTTTGGTTTACGTCAGAGAAAGACACAGCAGAGATGTTGAAGGGGCCAGACTTCAGCTATAAAAGTTGTAGAAACCCTTATTGGAAGCTCAAACACTCAAAACTGTTGGCTATTTTTCCTATGCAAATGCATTTAAACTATTATTTAAACATTCTTAATGGATGATGAATACTGGCCCGTTAACCAATTTTCAATGCAAGCAGTGCAAAATGAGGTTCCCTTTTAATACATTTTGGAGTTTCAGTTTATGTTGCAAGCCAGGGCAGTGCACCATTTCCTAATTCTGTTGACAGATATTAAATAATTCTCATTGCACATATCCATTTAATAACAAAAAATAATACAGATTACAAACTCTTCTTCAACGTAAAAGCCTTGTGATAGCTGTCAGAAACAGCTTTTATGTGTAGTCCACATTTCCATAGATATTGTCTTTGTGTTCCTTCTGTTGACCCATCTGATTTTCAGATATCTATAAAAATAAAAAATTAACATTTAGACAAAGATGACATAAACTGTGAGAGACGTATTGTACAAGTCTTGAAGATTACAAAACTAAATATCAATGAAAATACAAAATACCTCATAATTAATGTAAACAGGTTCATCAATTACTTTGGGATCTGGAGGCAATTTGTTTGTTGTTTGACAAGGGGGTTCACTGCAGATAGTTGGAATATAGAACATTTGCATTTTAGTTACATAATCTGTAAAGTAATCGGTAATGTTATCTTTTTATGGGAATAGTTCCCCTATCTTGAGGTAAAATAAATATGTTTGGATGACTGATAAGCTCATTAAATTAACGGCATCTTTGGCTGCTACAACATATATGTGATTAGCCTGCCAACTTCAACCCATCCTCGAGTACGGGAACTGTGACCACAAATAACATCACAGCCTCCCTTGAAAAAAAAAAAAAACTTTCATTAAAAGATATTTAAAACTGATTTTGATCTTTAGCTATCTTTGGTTGCATTTAACGTAAGTCTGACTGTAAAATAAAAAATAGTATTTTGTTGTCGAACAATTATGTAAGAAAGATAATCTGAATTTTTTTTTATAGAGAATCATAAAAAAAGAAACAGAACCTTTCAGGTGAATGAGAAGATGTCTGTTTGAAGTTCATATAATATCCAGACTCCTCCCGCGTGACCTTTTTTGACCTGGAATATCGAAGTAATGAAATGGTAACTGATACAG